CGATAATTAGTAACACTTGCGACAAGAATGAAAGAATTACGAGACTTCCGTAATTTGGTTAGAAATCTGAGAGGAGTTTCTGACGGCGCTGGTTTTTTCTCGTTGAAATCTCACTTTCACAATCTCACTTTACGATCGCTGAGTCAACACACCCCCCCCCTCCTCCCTCTCTCTCTCTCCCTCTCTCTTCCTCCCTCGCTCTCTCCCTCGCCCTCTCCCTCTCTCTATCTCTACCCCTCTCCCTCTCCCTCTCTCTCCCTCTTCCTCTCCCTCCCCCTCCCCCTTCCATATATTTTTCCCTCCCCTTCTCCCTCGGAGGTGTTGAACGAGCACGGCCTGTCGTCTCGTGTGAAATAGGAAATAGCTAGCGGCTAGTGTACACGTCCAGTACGCCACGTTAATGCAAAAGAAGAATATGAAGAAACGCTCTCGGCAACAGCGATACAGAATGAGTAAAGAAGTGAACTGCTGTGGAACTGAATATGGTCGATACAGCGCAAGGCTGCGGCGGTATGGTGCACCGGGAGGTTCTGCAGTATAGTAGGTCCGGTAGGTTAGATCGAAGTTTGTGCGCTTTTGGGAACAATTCAAAGCATTGAAATTTACCGTACGTACATATGACTACAGAATGTATGAATAAAGTGAATAAAACCACATTTGTTTCTATTCAGTCCTGTTGATGTGATATATGGCAAATACTTTCTACTATAGAGGCACATAGTATCAAGGTATTATCCGCTCTTGATAGTATGGGATATGTGATAATATATAGCTATATACACACGCGATTTCCATCCCACGTTATCTCACCCCCACGCCTTTCCCCGGTTCGATTCAGCTTAAGGAAGCCATCATGCCTCTTTCGGATAACTGTAGAATGCGTGTAATGTCATAGATTACTCGAGAAAAAAAAACATAAAATTTCTGCAAACGCGTCTTTTTCCCGCTTTTTTTTGCTGACGCAAGCAGCGGTGGCAGCACAATAGCCTTCCGTGTCCCCTTCCTGTTTAGCGAGTACATACGCAGTTAGAAAAAAAACACACGCGAGTCACACTACGTCCGACCGACGCGCCATCAACGCGGACAGATTGTGACAGTGACGTGACAGTGCAGTAATTACTCTTAACTATACGGATTAAGTAAATTTGACGTGCAGTGTGTGCGCGAGTGAGCGAGCGAGCGATGGTGAAGTCGGTCTTATAATGAGATCGCATTGTGCCGACGTCATTACGAGATAGAAAGAGAGAGAGAAAGAGAGAGAGAGAGAGAGTAATATGTTAATGAGCATATCGAATGTACAGAAGCCGTGACCTTTCATAAATTTAATGACACAGATCTATTATAATTATACGTCATTATACGTATTAAAATTTTATTTGAGCGTATAAATATACACGATATAGTTTATGTAAATACTGACGTCTCTTCCCAATAAACATTAATATCGTAATTTTACACAAACGAGAATATAGTCGTTTTCAATGACACACCGAGAGAGCAAAAACAATACATCATACAACACACACACATGTAGCCATCGCTGGGGAATGTGATTCATCATATTATACCACGGTCACTACTGTTATTGCACACCCCGCAGCTAAACAACCTGTCCTGTCATATAACACGTGCAGGGCCTCTCTCGCGTCGCACCGTCCTCTCTCAGCCGACGCCGTCGTCGTCGTCGTCGTCGTCGTCGTCATCATCGTCATCGTCATCACAATAACCATCGTCGTCGTCGTCACCATCATCATCACCATCGTCATCATCATCATCATCATTGTCGTCATCATAATAACCATCGTCGTCGTTGTCATCATTGTCGTCATCATAATAACCATCGTCATCATCTGACGACACGTCGGCAGATAGAGAGCGGCTTTATCAACGCCTTTCTCTTCTAAGCTATACACGCGCGTCCGCATCTGTCGCTGCCCGCTGGGTGACTTTCCCCCGATTCTCGCGGAATACGGCGTCGGCGGAGGCAGACGAATATAGCTTCGTGTTCCGGACGCTTATCGTCGGCCGTAAGCCGTCGTCGCTATACACGACGTCGGTTTGTTCGTAAGCCGTGACGTCGGCGTTGATTAATATCGCAGTTTGCCGACGACGACGGATCGATGACTCATCTTATCTCGAACGCTGCGCATGCGCACCGCCGCTCGATTTCATTTTTTATTGATTTCCTCGGCAAGGTCACGTCTCAAAGACGTCCAATGTCTTCGGAAATTTCGGAGAATCTAAGATATTACGGATAGAATTACAGATATTGAGGCTAAAGATCTAGATATTATCAGGAGTGAATAATTATATATAATTTATTATTATTCACTCCTGATATTTCGCATTTGAAATCTAGATATTGCGATGGCTACCTATTGCTACTGGATTAATCGTGAGGCGTTAAAGGGTGGATTTCTTAATATAAGCGCTGCTACGGGGAGAGAAAATACGCGTCATCTGTGTCTGCTTTCGTAATACAGAATCAAAGTCGAGAGAAGAATCCATTAAACCATCGTGCTCTCACACACGTTCTCACATCGTCTGTATAACATCCACGTATTCTTATAATTAACACACAATTAGACATCACGTATCACACATAGCATTAGCTGGATCACGCACGATGGCCATCGTAATGATCGCAAGCCGTAACGCAGATTCTAGATTTCAGAACTTTTAGGGTTCTGTGTTTCGTTTAGACTATTTAAATTATGAGCGTATTGACGCTGTAATAATTTGTGGATTAAATTGGTTTTTAACGAGCTTTTGTAAAGCGCCTATCGTCATAATCATTTCTGATTGGCTAATTAAATTAATGATAAAAACGCTGTGTCATCATTGCACACCGTTCAGAAGGCTACTCGATACGCAATTTACACACACACACACACACANATATATATAACGCACGAACGAAAGAACACCCTCACGCACGCACGCACGCACGAACGAAAGAAAACCCGCAGGCGCGCACGCGCGCACGCACGCACGAACGATAGAACACCCGCACGCGCGCACGCACGCACGAACGATAGAACACCCGCACGCGCGCACGCTCGAACGAAAGTACACCCACACGCACGCACGGACGCACGCACGGACGCACGAACACACGCACGCACGCACGGACGCACGCACGGACGCACGCACGCATGCACGCACGCACGCACGCACGTCTGCTACAGCGATAGCACGTCCGAAGTGTCAGATCAGTAAGAACAAACTCCATTTGCAAAAGACACGGCACTTAAAGGGGACAGAAATCCTTCAGAAAATTCCTCTCGATGCTCAGTCGGGGGTCGTTTCGTTGATGGTAATTGGAACGCACGCACGCACGAATGAAAGAACACCAGCACGCGCGCACGCACGCACGAACGAAAGAACACCCACACGCGCGCACGCACGCACGAACGAAAGAACACCCACACGCACGCACGCACGCACGAACGAAAGAACACCCGCACGCGCGCACGCTCAAACGAAAGTACACCCACACGCACGGACGCACGCACGCACTCACGCACGCACGTCTGCTACAGCGATAGCACGTCCGAAGTGTCAGATCTGTAAGATCAAGTTCCATTTGCAAAAGACACGGCACTTCGGCGCGTGTAACGGAGAAAGAAATCCTTCCGAAAATCCCTCTCTATGCTCAGACGGGGGTCGTTTCGTTGATGCTAATTGGCAACAAGTGTGAGATTTACTCAAGTAGAGCGCCAGGGGGCGCGACAACGTCCGCCGGGTTTTCCGGCGGTTTCGTGATTTTCTATTCTCAAACGAACGCGTTAATGGGGGAGGGTCGCGTTAAAATAAAAGCAAGAAAATCAATATGCTTTCACCGTAAAGCGGCCTGGCACTCTCTCACGGTGTGTTCATATATGGTTAATGCGTCGACGGCAGACCATGATGTTACGGTGGTGTAGCTTTTAGCGAAATTATGAAAAGTGCGCTGTAAAACTTTAATGAGGGCATATTATTAGATGGATGTAAAGGCGGGTATCGATCTTTAGTTGAGTAATAGATCGATATTACGCGACAGAAATTTTCTTGCGAGAATTTGGTCCGCCGGCTAAGTAACGCCGGACAAGGAACATACGCACGTACGCGCACGCACGCACAGAAAACCCTATGCAGACACGTACTTATGTAAATCTACAGATCACGACCGCAGCGCGCGGCCACACAGCAGCACCACACATACACAGCGACACATTTCCACACCAGGGCGCAGGCACACTCACACACACACGCACCACGACACACACACACACACACACACCCACACAACACACACACACACGGCACACACATACACACAGACACACCGCACCGTCACACACAACACAACACACACACCACACACACACGCAACGAGTTCGCACGCACGAGCAATCAATTCATCGTTGGCTTTCCGCCTGTTGCCCACACCTCGAGCTAGACCGCCGAGCCCACTGGCGGGCGACCTGTCCGACAACCCGCCTTCACTCGTTCCAACCCCAATTGAGAGGTCACGTGCCCAGAGGGCGTTATAAGAAGTTCATGGGGCCTCAACGCATCTCAATGACACATAGCAGACAGCACGGCACACACACAAACACCGCGAGTATATAATAATGAACGTTGAGCCCCGCATGAAATTAGCTTCGCGCTTTGGTTGTGGCTGCGTCTGCTCGCGTTTACGGAGCGAAAGCCCGCGAAACGGCAAACGTGCTTTCATCGGCTACATGAGTGTGGCGGAGAGAAGAACTGTGGCGCAATGGAGAGAGAGGGAGGGACGAGAGGGAGGGGGAGAGGAATGGGCAGAGGTGGAGGGAGAAACAGGAATGGAGAGATAAGGGAGAAAGGGAGGGGAGAAGGAGGTGAGAGATGGAGGAGAAAGGAATGGAGAGGGGAGAGAGCAGAAGGAGGGAGGGAGAGGAAATAAGAGAGAGGGAGGGAGAGAGGGAGAGCGAGAGGTAGGGGAGAGAGGGACGGGGTAGAG